TTGTGGTCAATGTTACTAACATAGCTAGGAGATATTTTTGCGTATGGAACTATATCATTGGCTGATGATCAGCTATGACATTGGGACTTAGCTAAATTGCTTATGTTCATCTGGTTATATAAGCATTTGTGAAAATTATAAGAGACTTTTAAAAGATTTTTTTTGTTTTGTTTAGAACCAGTGTATGTTTAGAATGGTTATCATAGGATTGAATTGTGTGTAGACATCTGAATAATATTTTGTACTGGTCATTTATGTATCAGGTGGGTAGTTATGGTGGTAGATAGAAGTAGAACTGTTCTTAGATATTTTGTCTGCAGGCAGTATTTTGATTTTCTCGTTGCTGATGAGCCCTTTTGAGTTATATCTTACAGTGTTGGTTTTGGCTTGTTTATGCAGACCCTTGGAATATCACATGCATTTTCTTCATTTATTTGGCTATGCGGCCCAATTACAGGCCTTGTGGTAGGTTTGCAATCAAATTTTATTTCTTTTGGCATTTTAGCAGTTATACTAACTTGCACGTAAGGATCTCAGGAGAGTTGAAAATTTGATTTATGTAGAATCAGAAATTACTTTTCTTATGTGAAGACATACATTTTTCCTGCCTCATTTTGTTAGTACTTATTTGTTTGCTGGGTTTTAGGTCCAGCCTTTTGTTGGCATTTGGAGTGATAAATGTACCTCAAAGTATGGAAGACGACGACCATTTATTCTCGTTGGATCAGTCATGATCTCGATAGCAGTAAGGGCCAATAGAAGATATGATTTCTGTTTTAATTTTCCTTTAGGAGATAGTTGGCTACATTGTGTCTTATATAAGCTAAACAAAAGCTTGCAATTTAGGTGATAATAATCGGGTTTTCTGCAGACATTGGGTATCTGTTAGGAGATACAAAGGAGCATTGCAGGTTCTCTCCTTCTCCCCTGCCTATGGCATGTTTTATACGGATGTATAAAATTATAGTAATTGACGACTTGCTGTGTATCTGTTAATGCAGTACTTTCAAAGGCACACGAACCAGGGCAGCTACTGTCTTTATCATTGGGTTTTGGTTGTTGGATCTTGCAAACAATACAGTACAGGTTCAGACATGCTTTATCCAATCACCTAGAGTGGATGATATTAGTCATTACCTCTATACCCAGGAATGATGTTTTTGGCTTTTTTTTCAGGGACCTGCTCGTGCTCTTCTAGCTGATCTCTCAGGTAATAATGGAACATTAACGTACACTTAACAGACCAGAATATCTATTCAAACACTAGAATCAGATTGAAATGCTTTGTTTCTAGTTCTGTGGAAAAACACTTATGAGATGTCTCTTGCTGTCCTTAGGTCCTGATCAGCGGAATACTGCAAATGCTATATTTTGCTTGTGGATGGCAATTGGGAATATCCTTGGGTTTTCTGCCGGTGCTAGCGGACGTTGGCAAGAGTAATCGTCGAGATCCTGACTCTCAGAAACTTGTATTCTATTTCCTCATTTGCAATTTTGCATTTTTTGACAGCTGTTTAATGATCTGGCAATTTGATTGCGCAGATGGTTCCCGTTCCTAACTAGTAGAGCATGTTGTGCTGCATGTGGAAATCTCAAAGCAGCGTTCCTTCTTGCAGTGGTAAGCAGTATGTTTAATTTTCTGACACATGCATCTTACTAAGCTTTGTACAAATGCAATGGAATAGTCGGGTCTTTACCAAACCTCTCATGTTTATATAATGTGAGTCATATTCCGCAAATCAAGACATTTTGTTTGTATTTCTTTATGATTTATGAGGTTGTTTTGAAAGTTCAGTTTCATATAAATGCACCTAGTTGCTTTTGGTCTTGTTTTGTAGTCTATATATATTATTCTATATGTTTAAAGAGTTTCATCATTTTTCAGGTCTTTCTCACTATATGTACTCTTGTCACAATCTATTTTGCCAAAGAGATTCCTTTTACAAGCAACAAGCCCTCCCGCATACCAGATTCTGCACCTTTGTTGCATGATCTCCAGTCTAAAGGCGTTGAACACTCAAAATCCAGTCATGGTACTGCCAATGGGATCAAGTATGAGAGAGTTGAACGTGATGTGGATGTACAGCTTGGCAATTCAAAGAATGACCATCAAGATGAGACCTTCATTGAAGGCCCTGGATCTGTTTTAGTGAATTTGCTAACTAGTTTAAGGCATTTGCCACCGGCTATGCACTCAGTTCTCATCGTCATGGCTCTTACATGGGTGAGTGCCAAAGAAACATTATGATCCTAATATCAGTTATTCACTTTCTGAAACTGTTTTCTGTTCTTAGATTCGTTAATATGATCTATAGGATTATTTCCTTCTGTTGTAATTTAGTTTTGGTATTGTACCTTGCAGTTATCGTGGTTCCCCTTCTTTCTGTTTGATACAGATTGGATGGGAAGAGAAGTTTTCCATGGGAATCCAACGGGGGATACTTTACATGTGGAGCTCTATGATCAAGGTGTACGTGAAGGTGCACTTGGTTTGCTACTAAACTCGGTAAGAATCTTTATAATAACCGGTTTTTTTTACTGCTCTACTCTTCAAATTCAGTCACTTGCCTGTTATTGAATTCCCCCCCCCCCCTGGTTTCCGTAGGTTGTTCTTGGGATCAGCTCATTTCTCATTGAACCAATGTGTCAGCGGATGGGTGCACGGGTTGTATGGGCTCTGAGCAATTTTACTGTTTTCGCCTGCATGGCCGGAACAGCTGTAATTAGCTTGATGTCTCTCAGTGATTACAAAAATGGAATCGAATATGTAATGGATGGGAACAAAACAACAAGAACCGCAGCCGTAGTCGTCTTTGCACTCCTTGGTTTTCCTCTAGCTGTATGTGTTTTCTTTAAACCATAATTCTCTTTTTTCTTTTCTTGTTGCTACTTTTCTCTGCAGTATGTGATATAACCAATTTTCTTCTTCTCTTATGCAGATCACATACAGCGTCCCTTTCTCTGTCACAGCAGAAGTCACTGCTGATTCCGGTGGTGGTCAAGGTCGGGGAATAGACTCGTATCTTCATTACATTCATAGTTTTGTGCTTAGACCTTAGTTTTCAGGAATCTCTAATGGTTTATTTTTTCCTCACTCTAGGTTTGGCTATAGGAGTGTTGAACCTCGCAATCGTTATTCCCCAGGCAATCTCTCAAATCTAAATACAGTGATCAAATCCGTTATCTTGTATAATGCCACTCACTTCGAGGGTAGCCTTGACTCAAACTTAGTGTCTGAATATGGTTTTGGTTTGGAACAGATGATAGTATCACTTGGAGCTGGTCCATGGGATCAATTGTTTGGAGGAGGAAACTTACCGGCGTTTGTTTTGGCGTCTGTGGCTGCTTTTGCTGCTGGAGTTATAGCCTTGCAAAGGCTTCCGACGCTATCTAGCTCCTTCAAGTCCACCGGTTTCCACATCGGGTAAAATTCTTATACCACGATCACGAATACAAAATGGATGCACAGGCACAGGCTTTTTTCCCATAGTGTAGACATAAAATTCAGATTTAGTTCCCTTTCGATTCTTTTTGACAACGTTCTCATCTCGGCTTATATATGTAATGTAGGTTTTTGTACATTTTAGTTTTGTTATATTATACACAACAACATTGTGATTCTAAATTTACAACTACCACTTGCTCACTTAGCATAGTCATTATCTTCGTTATTTTGAAATCACTTCAACATATTCCAAACTCAATAATCCGACCTATAAGACTATTGGTTCTTTTTATTAATCTATGATGTGTACGTTTTGTAAGTATTACCAAACTAATTTAAATAATCTGTTAATATTTTCGTATTGGAAGCTTATACATGAAGCAATATAAAATTTAACATCATTAGCTGAGTTGTACACCTCCCGAAGAAGAAGATTGTGAATTTGCGATATACAATAATTATAGACAAAGTTCCCATTTTAGTTGGTGGTACTAAAGAAACAAACCATTACAAAAGAAAGAAAACGAATTCAAACAAGTTTCACCTATACAAAATGTACTAAAATCATAACCAAACTATAATATCTGAAACAAAAGATGTGATATTTGGGGGGGTTATTTGACTTTCGTATATATAATTAATTTACAGAAACAGTGTGTCCATAAATAATAAATGGTGGGTTGTTGATGGCAGAGTCTGTATCTAGAAGTTCCTATTATAACCATTTCAAAAGAAAGAAACATTCAAACTAGTTTCAAGCATATGTAAACATTTTATCTACAATAGTAAATTTTTGAAGATTTTTGTGTAACATTTAATGGCCTTCATGATTATATCAGAAAAAATTAATTATTTTCCCAAACCATTAATTTTTTTTGAATTAACTACATATAAAGTTTAAAATATTATAATTTTATAAAATACATATAAAGTTTAAAATTTTAGAAAAGTGAAGTGTTATCAATATTTTAATCTAATAGAAAGTTTTACTTAATAAGCATCCAAATTATTAAAGATTGTATATCATTAAATTTGATTTGGTCAATTTTAAACTTTAAGAAGTTGTAAGATATTAAAGTGTAAATAAAGTGTTCTCTATTTTTATGATACTTTTCATGACTTCATTTTGTAAATAAAGTTTTTAAAATCATAAACAATTAACATAATAATTTAATTTATTAACAATCATAGATTATTTTGTTTTAATTGAAAAATTCAAAACTTTTAATGACTTAATAAAACTTTGAATCCAATAACCTTATATCATAAAGATTTTAAATGACTTTTTACAAATCAATAACTAATAAGACCAAACTTTTAAAAAGTTTAATAAATTTTTCATTTAATAACAACAGATTTTAGTCATTAAAACATATAAATCACAAACTAGTAACACCCTCTAACTTTATAGACAATGTGGCCAAAAATATTAATGACCATATATCGTGGGTTGTTGAGACACCCATAACAATAAAAATAACAAAACATTGAATGCCTTTTTGGTTTCTTCTTCTTTAAAAACCCCATGTGTGTATACATTTTCTTCTTCAGTTCATCCTCCTCATTCTCTCTCTCTCTCTCTCTTTCTGATAACTTTCTCCAAAGATCGATCAATATGGCCGCCAAGGGAAGAGGTAGTGCATCATGGTTCGTTGGAGCTATCGTTGCTCTTATGTCACTGTTGTTGCTTCATGCTGACTACGCTCAAGCAGCAACGTACACGGTCGGTGACTCTGGTGTCTGGTCCTTTAACGCTGTGGGTTGGCCTAAAGGCAAACACTTTAAAGCCGGTGACGTTCTCGGTATATATACTTCACATCCTTTATATCAAGCTTCAACAATATATATTTTTTTCTTTTATTTTGTTATACTGATCATATATATGCAAGCACTTATATTATAAGCTTTCGAATCGCCATATCCACTAGTGATGTATACATATATCATGGCCGCTTCTAATTAGTATGTTGTGCATGTTTTGCTTTTGAACAAGTACACGACAAATTAATTGCTATTCATCCTTAAAACATCATTATGTATATTTTAAGGTTGGAAATATTATAATGAAAATGTTTAGCATATATAATTATTTTTTAAGTAATATGTTTAGCATATTTTATTTTTTGACATTATATGTTTAGCATATATAATAATGAATAGACTAGATCTATACTATATATAGTTTAATTATTATTATTTGAACAAATCCTGATGTAAATCATTTTAAGATAGAAGAAATAGCATATTAATTAGATTTCTGTATTAGAGTCTTAATTAACATGATTAATGCATTATTTATTAAGACGTATAGGTTTTTTTTTTCAACAATAGGTATGTTAACTCACATATCAAACCCATTTAAACAAGCTAAATAACCTTTTTGGTAAATATTACATGACAAACGAAATCGTGTTTTTGAGTTTTACTTTTGTAACAAAAGAAATGATAATATGGTTCCAACTACTTAATATATCTTAGTGTCAATATATAGAATTAGGTTGTGGAGTAATTAAATTTATATGATTTGCTGACTTAATAATTTATGGAATATATGTTGCAGTGTTTAACTACAATCCGAGTATGCACAACGTAGTGAAGGTAGATGGTGGAAGTTACAACAGCTGCAAAACACCGGCAGGTGCGAGACCTTACACTTCAGGCAAAGATCGTATAACTTTGTCTAGAGGACAAAACTTCTTCATCTGCAATTTCCCAAACCATTGCGAAAGCAACATGAAAATCGCAGTCACCGCCGCATGATCGATCGTTGAGAAAAATTAAAATAAATATAGTTTGATTACTTGTTATGTTCTTAATTACAAAAACATATTAATTAAGTATTCAATAAAGTTCGTATTAAAATCCTATATAATGCATGTTCTTCTTATAATAATAATATGTTTTCTGAAAAATATCCAAAGTCGGTTTAGTAGTTTGGAATATCTTGGATTGTGCAGACTTAGACAAACTCTTTCAGAAAGATTTAAAGAAAAATAAAGAAATTGCCAAACCATAATTCATAAGAATGATACAACAAAAAGAAAAAAAAAAAACAAGTTCATACTGATGCAACTTTGGGCTTGGTGGTGATATAAGCCCATAAATTACAATTGCTCACAGGCCCATTAATTCAGCTTGTTCATTGTTGTTTTGAGGGTTTTTTTTTTCTTTTTTTCTTTTTTTGATGAAATATTTTGAGGGTTTTTGTTTGATATATTAATTATATATATCTTATATTTATAGTTTTTTTATATATTCAATTTTTTGTTTGGTTGTTGCTATAAGTACATATTTTTCTATGAATTTATATTTCCCTGCGAGAGTCTGCGACTAATAATGATATTGTCGTATATGATTATAATCAGACAATGAAAATGTGACAGCTAAAATATATTTTTTTTTTTTAAAAGAGAGATATATTATAAAACAATAGTTATGTTACCGCTTTGGTCCTACTCCAACACACACACCATTCAAGCTTCTCGGGTCACGCCCTCTGCCATCTCAAATGAGTACTTCCTATATATACCTCACACTCTGATTAATATATTGTAGTATACTACTAGCCCTGGGCAAAAAGCCCGTACCCGAGGCCCTAACCCGAACCCGGCCCGTTAGGCCCGTACCGAACCCGAACCCGATTAAAGAATATACCCGATCGGGTTTTGGTTTTGAAAATTTCGGGTTCGGGTTCGGGTTCGGGTAAACCCGAACATACCCGAAAACCCGATTTCGTTCATCTATAAACCCGATTCTCGATTTCATTCCTTTGTTTGGTGATCGATTTCAATATTTCATTGCCCAGATTCTAGAACAGAACTAGCATATACGTACTTGAATCGAACTCATAGGAGAATTAATAATAGAACCCAGATTATACTTGAAGCAACCCGATTTCGTTCATCTGTATACTTGAAGCAACTGATTTCGTTCATCTGTAAACCCAGATTCCAGAACTAGCATATACTCTTGAATCGAACTTAATGAGGATATTCATTCCCAAGAAAATCATAGGAGAATATTTAGCTTCCATACCCAATTTCTATTTCGATGTAATCTGGTAAGATGAAGCTTAGTTAGGTTTCGATGTAATATGTAGCAGTATTGCATTCCTCTGTATTACTTCTATCGTCTGTAATACAGGTCTCTGGGTAAAAAAAAATTATTTAATTTGTTCCATCATCTTGATTGATATGCGATTGATTTATTAG